CTTGTCCAAGATCAGGGGCTTCTCCCCTAAGCTGTGGTTTGCTGCTCACATAGAACTAGCAGAAACTGATAAGGCAGTATGAAGTAAGACAAAGAGGGTAGTAGGGACAATGTTTTAAAATAATGAAGAAAAATCTCTTTATTGCCTAAAAAGTCAACCCCTCTTCACTACTGACACTACCTGACTGTTACCTGGTTCTCAATATTGCCAGTTGTTCCATGGTTCTAAAGACAGAAGTCTTCGCCTAAAAATTTCCTGTTGTCCATTGTTGGAAACTATATTAAGCACACACACACACACACACACACACACACACACACACAAAAACCCTCAGATTCTATCACTTCAAAACAAATACAAAACTCAGGGACTGACTAAATATGTAGACCTTTGCTCTTGAAATATTTATTTCTAGGCTTCCTTAAAGATGCATGGCCCCCTGACAATGGGATCAGAATCTATCCTTGGTGCATAACCTGGCTTTGTGCACTCCGTTCCCTATGGTAGGATGCCTTGCTCAGTTTGATGCAGAGGGGAGGGGCTTGGTCCTGTCTCAACTTGATGTGCCAGGCTTCATTGACATCCCATGGGAGACCTTACCCTTTCCGGGAGTTAATAGGGGTGGGATGGGGGGAAAGGGAGAAGAAGGGTAGGAGGAGGGGAGGAGAGAACTGTGGTTGGTATGTAAAACAAATACAAAAAAATTTGAAAAGATGCACGGCCCCGTCCTGGTATGATTCCTGTTGCCTATCGTTGTTTGTACCTCTGCTTCCCCAATACACTCTCCTCCTTGAAGATTAGGACCATGCAGGAAATCTTTTCCTTCCCCAAGTGCCTAATGCAGTGTAGGCTTCAAGAATCAGCCCGCAGACAAGGAATGGTGGTGCACACCTTTAATCCCAGCACTGATAGACAGAGGCAGGCAGATCTCTGAGAGTCTGAGAGTATGCAGCGAGTTCCAGGCTGCATAATGAAATAGTGTGGTTTAAGAAAACAAGCATAAACAAACCAAAGAAATTAAAGCAGCTCTCTCAGTCCCATAACCATGTTCTCCCATGGTCGACAGCAAACAACGAAGGCACAGCAAAGGCACAACAAAGAAGAAAAATGTTTGTGTTCTCAGTGGTCCTATGACTCAGAACATTTTATAAAATCTAAAAAGTTTATAGAGATCATCAAGACACAGCCAATATCGGATATCCTTAGAACCATCAGGAATTTTTCACACAGCGGCTGCAAAACCCCCTCTGCGGTTAATCACCTGGGAGTTACCTCCAGATGGAAAGCTAATCCATAGACCTTCTTTATCTCTAAGCCTAATATATACCTGACATGGAAGTGTTTTCACTAGTTTTAAATTTCATTTGAAAGAGTCAGATGTGACAGTATTTTCATTTTGTTGGACGTTGAGTATCGATCCCACCACAGACAGGGAAGGAAATACACTGTCTCAAAAGTCACAAGAAGGGTAAATATAAGGATAGCAAAGACTTGGGGTGGGGGTGGGGCGCTACAAGGAGGCCACAGGCCGCATGATTGACGGCGGCTGTCTTAGTCAGGGTTTTATTACTGTGAAGAAACACCATGACCACAGCAACTCTTATAAAGGAAAACACTTAATGGGGGCTGGCTTACAGTTTCAGACGTTTAGAACATTGTCATCACAGCAGGAAGCATGGTGGCATGTAGACAGACATGGCGCTGCTGGAGGAGCTAAGAGTTGTACATCTGGTTGGCAGGAAGTAGATGTCACACTAGACTTGGTTTGACTATTTAAGACCTCAAAGCCTGCCCCCTAGTGACACACTTCCTCCAACAAGGCCACGCCTCCAAATAGTGCCACTGCCTATGGGCCAAGTATTCAAAGGCATGAGTCTACGGGGCCATTCCTATTGGAACCACTACTGTGGCCCACGGAGATGCACTTTTCACACTCATGGTCCAGTATTTCTTACAGTTGGGTTTATCATGGTAGAAATACGAGGATTGTTGATGAAGACCTGGTCCATGATTAGGAATAACGGTAGAGGGGCCGGATCACCCAGCAGGTGGGTGATGGAAGCAGGAGACTCGGTTTAGGATTGTCCTCTGCTATATTTTAAGTCTAGGAACTTTAAGAGTTTGTGTATAATTTAGCCTTGTGCTTTGCCATTTTACAGATGAAGATACTAAGACCAACAGCATGTAATAAATACATCCAAATCACAGAGCAAAGGAGATGAGGAGGGAGATGTGAGCTCAGCACGATTCCACACCAGAGCTTAAGATGCTCGTATTACATGTATTTCCCCTCAGAAATATCAGGAATTCACAGTACTTGTCCTACCACACCGAAAAATATAATCTGGATGATATATGATAATTCTAGCATCCTATTCATTGCAACGGCCATTTACAAAAAGCAACAGTCTTGGGCAGGCATTGTTAGGTGGAAATACCAGAATCCCACAGACACTGTTCAAGTACAGAGGCAAGAAAAGGACACAAGGCCACTCGAGAAAAGTCACTGCGCACCTTGGTGCCAGGTGTAAGGAGTCCTTGCTCCTTTTCCTCAGTGTCTCACTGCCTCCTCCATTCTCTCCTGAAAACCACCTTCCCCAGCAAAGCTTTAAGTTTCCAGGCACAGTGACTAATCCTTCCTCCATGAGATATTACAGGTCCAGTCTCAGGTACTAGCTGATTTAATCTCAAGGAAAGAGCAGGCACACACCCAGCCAGGGCCAGATAACTAGCCCTATTCCAATCAGCTGGGGCCTGGCACTGGCGTTCCATAGAACTGGTTCTGCAAGCCAGCAAGTGACACAGGAGAAAGTATTTCCCGTCTAAGAGGTGCTGGGTTTTGTCTATAAAAATCATCATACAGAGAGGGGATTGTTGAAAGGGCCCACATCAAAGGGTAGTAGCGGTATATATAAATATCATATTTGCTTTTCTGTGTGTCCTAAATTTTCCACAGTGGCTAGACATGGCTTTGTACTAAGAGAAAAGAAACACAGCCTATGTTAGGATTAAAGGCGAATCCCATCCCGGTTAGTATTTAGAAACTAAAGGTCCAGATGAAAAATGCTTTTAGTGATGACGGGATGGAGGAAATGCACACCCAAGACAGAACAGCTAGCCTCACCTGAAAGTCCTGAGATTGGAGTAAGCCCTCTGCAGGAGGATGCCAAAGCTGAGCCTGGAGGAGATGCTGGGCACCGCAAACCGGGGCCTGACGTCCTGTGATTGGCAGGCCACTAGCTGCTAGGTTAAGACAGACCGGAGCAGAGAGAAGAAGCGTGAGACGTGCAAAACAAGACAGGATTCTAGAGGACAAGAGACAGGGGCCATTAAGGGGGAAAGCAAATCCAAACAGATATTGCAAGCAGTGAAACTTGAAAGGGCAGGGAGACGCTCACTATGCAGAGAATGTGACTGAAGGCTAGTCCTTCCTACACATAAAGGACAGTGTCTCCTCTTCAGAACACTCAGGGAGGGGGACGAGGTTTACAGTCAGAGCACAATAATGTGGTCAACAGCGAGAAGAGCTGGTGAGACCCAGGTAAGCAGGGCAGAAGGCAGGCAACCAACGGGAACATTACCACAAGCAAGCACGCAGGCCTGAGCAAGAACACTCACTGTAAACCTTAGAGATGCTAGCCTCTATGCCCCTGTGCCCTCCAGCTGGCCTTCAAGCCTCTCCAAAGGCAGTAGGTGGCCACAGTCTTCCCTTTTGGCTTTCTGCCTGTGATCTCTATGTATGTAAAGTTTGTGGGTTTCTGTTTGTTGCTTTTATTTGCTGAGTCAGAGTCCTGCTATCTATGGCCCAGGCTGGCCTCCGCCTCAGAGTTTTACCTGCCTCAGACACACACACACCACACTGGGATTGTAGGTGTGCCCCTCAACACACAGCTCTTTCAGGAATCATCTTCTACCTTGTATACACTCATCTGTTGCCCTGCGGCTCTGGCCAGTGGATATTTTATTCGTTTCTATTGAACACACACTTGATGACTTTTTTTTCTTTGCAGTGCTAGGGTCTCTTACGTTGGGCAAGCGCTCGCTGTACTACTGAGGTACATTCCCAGTCTTTTACTGGGCTGTTATAGCTCCAGCTAGATATATACTCTTTAGAGTTGGAAGCAGTTGACATCATGGCTAGATATCTGAAAGTATTAAGATGTTAACACGTGCTGTAACACTTTGAAACCCCAGAGCAACATCCCTGAGTCCACCTCCTGACCCTGAGCTGACCTTGTGACTGGCGAACCAACAGAACACGTGACTCAGCTGCACCGATGCGTTCCTAGCGTGTCTCGGGACAGCCAGCTTTAGAACACTGATCAGCAGCAAGAAACCTAACGAGGAGATGGTGATGGGGCTCAGGCTGCACGGAATGACCTCGCTCAGACATCTCGGCCCCCAGACAGCATCGAGTTCCGGAAGTGCGACAATAAGCCTTATAAAAATCGGCCTCCGCTACCCGCCAGCCTCAAGCTCACAAAAGCCTTTGAGAGCACCCAGCTCATCTCCGTTGACGCTCAGAACCATGACCGCTCAGGACACGGCAATGGCCGTGTTTTTACAGTGGTGAGTTTTAGGATGAAGAACTCTGCAGAAAGGTAATGGGACCAGACATACTTGGTTCTCAATGCAGATTTATTAAATTTATTTCAATGGCAAACAAAGGCAGGCAACATTACCTTTCTCTTTTTTGCTCCCTTTTGGTCTTCTGTTGTATTCTGTTCTTTCTATTTGTAATCTTTCTATCTATCCATCCATCCATCTAGCTAGAGATCTAGATCTCTCTTCATATATGTATATAAGGCCTGTGTTTTCTTGTATATATGTGTGGACAAAGAAACTCAATTTTTTTAAAAAAAAATGATAGCTAATCACATTTCCTTGTTCTCTGCAGACTTTATTCCTCCTCTCTGTCATATCTTTGAATCTTCTGTGTACTTTTTAAGGCCATAAAACTGGGAACAGGATACTCTACCCCATGATGCTCTTGGCTCTGAGGTCACCTCATCTGGAAGGCCCTGTTATTTTTGGCCACCTTCGGTCCTCCACCCATCTGCAGCAGGAATCCCCACTCCCTTCCTTGCGCAGTCCAGGAGGTCGACAGATAGCAGCTGCATCAGCCTAAGGAAGAGAGCAAGCAGGGTGGTCAGAAGGGCCCTCCTGAAAACACAGCTTCCCGCCAGGCCGCGTAGGTGGCAAGGCGCAGACACTGTGGTCTGGAGACCTGCCTGGCTCCCAGTGGGAGCGACTCACACAATGGCGGCCAAGCCGCTGATAAAGGCTGGAGGCTAAAGGACACCCAGAAACTGGACCATCAATTTTCCTCCATCTTCTGCCTGGAGGGGAGTCTGCGCCATCAATACTTCCCCCAGAGGGTGTGCCAGAGTGTTACATTCCCATAAGCCTCCGTGGCCCCGGCCAACGGGCTCATGTACAAGAACACAGAATTCGGGATGAACACAGACCTCGGTACAGGAACGAAACAGCCACCTCAGGGACTGCAACCATGATGCTAAAAGGACGCTCTGCAGGGCTGGCCGGCTACTCTAGCAACAGGCAAAACTGTGTCACTTCAGGTCAAGGAGAAAGCCCTGCAGCCCGAAATAGCTGCCCTCTCCAGCTGCCAGAGCATCTAAAATTATACCGTTGAAGATTTATTTCTTTGCACACCTCATCTTGGTTGGGGGCAGATCTGGGAAGGGACCCATGAAACGTCCTCACATGAAGGTGCAAAGGGCTTGACAGCCCCTCAGAGTTATTCAGGGCCCCGGAAAGGAGGGAAGTGTTGAAAGACCAGGAACCAGGCAGAGGAAGTGCCAGTGAGGGACAGCAAAGGGCAACTTCTCCTATTTCAGATTTTCACCCAGAAGGAGCCTGGCCGGCAGCTACATCCTAAAACCAAGGCCCAAGCCATTTGCCAGTAAATTCTAACCATGCGTGTAAATAATCCTAATAATTTATTGAGATGCTTATTTAATACAAGGTTATGCAGGGATGCGCATGACTCTAAATTGCCTCAGTGTGTGGTGGAGGTATATTAAGGACCAATTAATAATAATCCAAAAGGCTAGGCAAGAAAATGGTATGTGCTGCCATACTGGAATGCAGTGGCGGGCAAGCTAAAAACAGGTAATTGGGTCAACGTCTGGTTTCTAGGGAAGTATTTGCTCAGAAATTCAGGCAAGGATTCTGCCTTTATGTATAAGTTTGGATAACTTGACCCCGGAAGATTAAGCAGTAAACAATCCCTATTTGAAATTTCCCTCCAGTCCGCTATATCTACAAGTAGGAAGTAGAAAAAGATCTCACGAAGATGAGACCGGTCACCCGGCTGTAAGCTGGCTCTAAGGGAGGCCATGGCCAGGATGGTGGATTTTCAGTAGAGGCAGGAATGAAGCAGAGAACTGGGGAAACAAGGAAAGGAGAAAAGGAAGAAAGAAAGACCCCATAGTTGCCGCTGCTGTGGGTGTGGCTTATAGCGCGCGCAAGCAGTCAATTCTGTGTAAGAACCGCCAATTGTGACAATAACCAGATCCTGGAATTTCAGGATACAGCTTAGTTGGGAAAAGTTGGGAATGTGTATGCCCAGAAGGCACCAAGTCCTGGGTTCAAGCCCTATCACTGCATAAATGAACGTGGTGGTTCACCTATAATCCCAGTACCTGAGAAGCAGATTCACGGGGATCAGAAGTTCAAAGTCATCCCCTGCTATTTAGCGAATCTGAGGCCAGTATGGACCACAGAAGACAGTATCAAGAAACAAAATTTAAAATGAAAAAAAAAAAAAAACGAAAAACAAAAAAACAAAGTTCTCCAGCATTTGTACCATTTGGCAGTGTATTAAGAACTTCCGGGTAATAGCACCTAAATACTCAAATTTCCAAGAAAGGAGAAAACTTTCTTCCTATTTTGGCGAAGAATGCTTTGAGTGAGAGCAGTCAGGTGACCTTCCCAAGGTCATCCCGCTGCTTAGACAAAGCACCACCAGGTATTGCAGCAGGACTCTCACTGGCTAAATCTCCGACTGGCATTGGAGAATTGTTCTTCCCAGGTCTAGTGAGTCACTCCCTAAGTTGACCTTTCTTACCCTTGATTCATGTGCACACTCAACGAATAATAAGGACAGAGCCACAGCTACTTCTGGGCACTAACTCCTCTGCATGAGATGCCACGCAAATGACTCACAGGTGGCTGCGCCCAACTACCCCGTGTTTCAGAAAAGCACTTCCTCACCCGGGTACCATGCAATCTCATGATGCTCAAGTCCCTTCTACTGCATGGTGAGGAACGTGATATAACTTATGCACATGCTTACATGAACGTTAATCATTTGTAGATCACTTGTGATACTTAATACAACGTAAAGGCTCTGTAAATAATTATAGTGCTACAGATTTTAGAGAAAAATACAGCCAGAAAGTGGGTCTGGGTGAGGGGATGTGGAGGGTGGATAGTTCCTCCCTATTTTACTGTTCGTTCCCTTTTGACAAAAATTAGGTCCCTCTGAACAATGGCCTAGTCTTATTCCAAGCTGCTCTCCAAAATTGAAACAGTTCCTACACAAATAGGTACTGGGTAAATATTTATCTAATAAATCACACTGAGTATCAAGGAAAGCTTTTGGGCCAGTGCCTGCTATGTGTCCCAAGTAGCATAAAACCACTTAGTCAAATCACCTCACTTACTATTATAAGTGAAAAAAAGAAAAAGAAAATGGTGAGAGGAAACAAGGTTTTGATAATAATTATGAAAGTTCTGGGGAGAACTGAAGCTTTCTCTTTGTCCTGTACCACTTAGGGCACGAGCTCCGGCCACATTGCGAGGTTAAACGGCAACAAATTTAAAACGAGTGAAGGAAATATTTTTAAAGCAGCGTATAATGCACCTTCGGAATTCACTGCCGCGGGATATCATCGAGGAAAATAGTCTAGCAAGAGTCAAGAAAGGATTAGACGTTTATATGAACGGGAATAATATTGGCAGTTACACTAACTAGGTTAAAAAGTTACAAGGCATGTCCGTCCCGTGCTCCGGGGCATAGCTGTGCACCAGCTGAAGGGGGGAAGGAATTTCCCCTGTTGGTGCAGCATTGTGTAATTGACCAGATGCATGAATGCTCATATTTTTGCCGTCTTCTGTAATAGAGGCAGAGAGCCCTGCTGAGGGGGAGGGTTCTGGGGTAGATGGAGGACAGCCCAGTGACCTCTAAACACGACGTAGAAAGAGCACTCGGAGTCTTTAGTTTTTTTTTTTTTTTCAATTTCAGAAAGTGAAATGGTAAAAATAATTTCCGTCTTCCAGATGATGAAACTATTTCACGAGATGACGTCATGGGGTGGCTGTAATCTCATTAGCAGCATGGAGAAGAAAGCCAGGAGGCTGGCAGCACGCTTCCCAAACCTTGTGCCCCAGAACTCTCAGACAGCCTCACACGTGGGCATTCGCCCCGTTTTCGTGTCATTTAAAACTTGTATGTCCTACACAAGTGCACCTATGACATAGGCACTGAGCAGAGCTACTTTTCTGCAGGGGTGCCAAGAAAAGCAAGTCTTCATACCGTCCACTCACCCTGACCACCGTTTGTCTGTCCGTCCTCGGTTCCGCTGCCAGGTGCAACCTCTGATCGGCAGCACCGGGGGCTGTGTGTTCTGTCACTCTCCTACGGAAAACCTGATGGCAGGATTTCACAACGCATCAGAATCCGAGTGTCCACATAAACACGGTACTGTACCAAACAAAATACTGAAGGGCCAGAGAGGTAGCTCGTCAGGTCCAGGTGTTTGCCACAAGGCCTCATGATCTGAGTTTGACCCCATGGACCCTCGGGATTGAACTGACTCCTGAAAGTTGTCCTTTGACTACCATGTGTCACTATAGCACATATGTGTTTGTGTGTGTGTGTGTATGTGTGTGTGTGTGTGTGAGTGCGACACAAATAAATAGAGCTTAAAGTTTTAAAACATGCTGTATTTAAAAATACTGAAACTGTATCCTTTATTATCATTACTTTATAGCCTTCAGTCTTCAAAGAGTATAATGCATTCTGTCGAAACTGTCTATGCTTAAAGCATTAGAAAAAGGACCCCATTAAACTCTGTCTCTGTCTGTCTCTGTCTCTCTGTCTCTCTGTCTCTGTCTCTGTCTCTGTCTCTCTCTCTCTCTCTCTCTCTCTCTCTCTCTCTCTCACACACACACACACACACACACACACCAGAAACTTGCTGCTGGCAAAGCTGAAAGGGAATTTCAACTGAAAACCCCCAAACCATCAATGAATCTTAAAGTAAGCTTATACACCAAAGATCTTGTTGATGTATGTGTTTCTCTGGGGAAAAGGGCCACGAATTCCATTCATGTTTTCAGCCATGTTCTCACACTGAGTCAGTTTTAAAAACCACTGTTCTAGGCCCCACTCCAAAAGAGAAGTCTCAAATGGATCTAGATGCTGTCTTTATGGAGACCTTCAGACCTGCCATGTAAGAGTTGTTTCTTTGGGCCTCCCTTTAACTGGCAGATTATCAATTAGATCCTGCTAGCTGAAGAGTGTTCACTTAGTGCCTACCTCTCACCCAGAGGAAAGGCTTTAAACACTGAAGCCTTGCTGCTCATAGCTGCTGGACATTTTGTTAATTAGTTACAGATAAGCCCTTACAAGTTTGCTTGTTTTCCCTGGATAGGAGCTTTCCTGTTTACTTTTTCATGGGATTATTACATAATCTTACTGTTATAAGATTATAGGCAGCCTCAAAACCATTTTTTAAAGATTCGAGGGCTGGGGGTGTGGCTCAAGTTTACAAACTGCTTTGTAATATGAGGGGCTGGCTTGTTGGGGTGTCTGTCCCACCCGGTACCCCACAGCTAGCAAGCCCTAAAGAAAATCACACACAGGACTCCATAAGATTATAAACTGATTGGCCCATTAGCTCAGTCTTCTTATTAACTAATTCTTACATCTTATGGTAACCCATAATTCTTGTCTGTGTTAGCCATGTGGCTCAGTACCTTTTCCAGCTGTCAGTTCACATATTGCTTCTTCAGAGATCTGGGCAGGAGTGGCAGAGGAAGCTTCCTGCTTCCCAGAATACTCCTGTTCTCTTTGCTCCACCTCTACTTCCTGTCTGGTTTTCCCGCCTATACTTCCTGCCTGTCCAATCAGCATTTATTTAAAATATGATTGACAGAATACATAATTCTCCCACACCACTGCTTGCTTTGCCTGTGTGAACTCCTGGGTTCATTCTCCACCCTTGGATAGATTGAACACGGCAGTATGCTCGTGCAATCCTGGTACTCAGTGGTGGAGGCATGAGAATCCAAAGGTTAGGTAGTCCTTGGCTACATACTGTTTGAGGCCAGCCTAAGACAGAAGAAACCCTGGAGAGAGAGAGACAGATACACACACACACACACACACACACACACACACACACAGAGAGAGAGAGAGAGAGAGACAGAGACAGAGACACAGAGAGAGACAGAGAGACAGAGACAGAGAAACAGAGAGAGAGCAAGACACTGAGCGACAGAGAGGAGGAAGGGATGTATTTGTTAGTGCCATTCTTGGGTTTTGTCAGTGGTCCCTACAACAGCAATATGGGCACATCCCTGTCACTACTCTTGAGTAAGCAGTGAGAATTAAAATTAACAAGCGAGAGGGGGGATAGAAAATGTCAAAGAAAAAAAGGAAGAAGAAAGGAAAAACATCTATTTTTTTTTTTAAGTGGGTGTTGGCTTTTATGTGTTTTCTATCCACGGCAACAAGCATGTACATTGCTCAGATTTCTCTTCTCACACCCTAAGCCATGTTCCTCTGTGGAGTTGTCTCACAACACGGCTCTCAGAAACATCTTGGGAGGAGCTTGGCTCAGTGCGGAAGAATGCCAGCTGAGCAAGCAGGAGGTCCCCAGTTCGAATCCCAGGTAAGGCTTTTGCAGCCTGTAATCCTTGCCCAGGGCTAGGGGTAGGAGGGGCAGAAAGATCGCGGCAGCTTTAGAGTGTAGAAGAGGAAACCTGACAACCACTTTCCCCGGCCTCTGAGTGAAGAGCATTCTACCCTCCCTCTTCTCTCTTTTCCCTCCCTCCCCCTCCCCTCTCCGCATTTCTTTGATTCTTTCCATCCCCCTCCCTTCTTCCCCCTTTCCATCTCGCCCCATCCTAAAGTTGCTAACCTTATGCAGTCTGGCAGAATGACGTCAGAGAAGGGAAGGGCGGCCTCCTAGCCAATCAGAAGAGCAGTCTTCCCCTGGAAAGCCTGGTAAGTCCATTGTTAGCCAACAAAGTGAAGATGGAGCCAACAGCGCCAGTCCTAGGAGAAATGGAACCTGGTGAGACTAAAACACAAATATTTTCCTGGGAGGTGTAAGAGGCACAGCCCTTATGTGACCACAAGCCGCAGAGGGTGAAACCCGATGAGGCCTATCACCTGAGCTCCAAAGGGATAAATCCGGAGAAGCGGTTGCTTTGTGCAGCTTTTCGAGGGCCGTCATTAATACCTGGCTTTGCGGGAAGGTGAGGGAGAAAGAAGAGAAAGCAAAAGCACTTTGGTCTTCGGTGCTGAATTTATTGCCTGGAAAAGGAGAGAAGCTAGAGCGTGCAGAAATGGAAATCTTCCGACATCTGAAAATCAAATAAACGGTTTCTCTCTCATCTCTGTCCACCACTGCCCTGCTACCGCGAGGCCTGAACGCTCACACAGAGTTGGTGCAAGGCAAGGCGTTGTTCTAGATGAAGCCCAGCCTTCCTGCTCATGGACGGACAACTCTGATAAGAAGCTCTTCCAGGTTGATATGGGTAACATAGTTAGTTCATCCAGTGGCTCCTTTAGGTGCATCGCCATGCAGGACTTGCAGAAAAGTCGTAAGTCCTAATTAGGTTTTTGCAGATGACGTGGTAAAGTCCCAGAATCAGGAGGCTGGCTAAGAGCTTGTGAGAATTTAGCTGCTCCAGGATGGTATTCTGTCCTGGTTCCATTGATCTCTTTACACCTACCAAAATGTATGTCTGGAAGCATTGAACTTGGTCATGGTGGAAGGAAAAAGGATGCCCATGATTTGCTACCCAGGAAACCCTGTGCAAGTGACAGTCTCTCTAGCCCTCTGTAACCAATCCATTAACTAGAGATGGCAGCACCTACCTACCACAGTTGTGCAAAGAGAAGCCCAAGGTCCTCTCGCAGGAGAAGCTGTATCTATCTATATGTCTATGCATTTACATATTTATCTGTTCTGTGCTTTTCTTGAGATCGATTTCTCCTCACCATCTTTATCGCTCACAGGGCGATTTTTGAAACAGTCCATCAAGAAAGGAAGGAGAGATACATATTTTCTTCTCCAACAAGTAAAAGCAATTAGACGTCAAATATTAACTGTTCCTGGGAGTAAATTTTTTTAATGGGTTAAAGGCTCAGCCATTATAGACCTCCAATATGTAATTTCTAAGAAAGGACCAGGTAATATATTTTTTTAATTAAGTGGGAGATAAAATGGGAGAGCAATGTTTCCCTTCAGAAAGCACTTCTTTACCCATTTCCAGTGGTTTCCAATTGCATCATGCCTTTTAAGAGGACCAATTTGTTTAACATCACTTTATTTTTCAACCTTCACATGTGAGAAGCATTGATTTATGATTCTGCTGATTAAAGCAATGGTGTCTGAAGCAATAATGATTTCAATTAGGGAACTTCCACCAGTGTGCACTATTCTGATTTTCTCTCCATTCCCACCACAGTTTTAGTCACTAAAGAAGGGGGCCTGAGTAGATGATGGAATTCCGAAAAGCCACCCAACTAATTTAATATCAGAAAGGAATGTACGGGCAGATGGACTGATGTTCCATTTTGGATTATGGGGATGTATTGTATTTTAATATGCTCTGACAAACTCTCAAACAGCTCCCCGGTGAGCCCCTACCTGATATCATTAGGGTTATTTAGTGCTCGGAGTCTGCTCAATTCCCACTGGAGCCACAGGGAACTCGTAGGAATGAGCACACTCCATTCCCTCCACATCTAGGGTCGTGCTTTCTCTTTATGCTGGGCTGGAAGAGATGCTTGATCTTGTGTTTAGATTTTTAGCTTGTTGAGATCGCCGGAACACACCCGACGCTGTCTTCTAATCCTGAGGGTCCCCATTACTAGCTGTTTCCCTACTCTAAAAGAATAATTTAACAAATGAATATTTTAAGTATTGAGAAAATTAACTCTGGAGAAAGACCGGTTTCTTCTGGCTTACGGCGACAGGGGCTTCTGTTCATCAGGATGGAATCTTGTTGTTCTGGGCTTTTGATGCCAGAGAACATCATGGTGGGAAGATGTGGCAGAGGAAAAACACATACAGCCCCCCAAAACAGAGAGGTATGGGGTCCGAGTATCCCCTTCCAAGGCAAACCTCTAAATGGCCTAACGTCCTTCTGGTACATTCCACCTCTTAACTGCCCCACGACGTTGCAAAAACTCCATCAGCTGAAGGACAAGCCCTCTACAACACGGGCCTTTGGAGGGCACTCCAGATTCAAACAGTAGCACAGCATGGTCCTATAGATGAGGCAGGTAAGTAAGACACTGATGCCAGCCTGGAGTGATGAACAAGGAAATATACCCCCAAGCATCAATGCAACTTGTGACCTAATGGAGGGGCTAGAATGAAGACAAACTAAGCACACCCTTGCCACTTCTTTGGTTATCAAGCTCCTGAGCAACGCACCCCAAATAACTGAAACTTCTCTAGGAATCTTATGCAGGCTAGGAACACAGTGTCACGTAGCCAAGGAGCATGTCTCCCCCTAAGAGGTTTCACAGGTTTTGGACTATTTTGTAGACCACCGTATAGGAGAACCTGGAGCCAATGTGATGATCACGGGCAAAGCCACATCTTCTCCAGGACCAGTCAAGCACACCTTCTGCCTTCTAGCTAAGCCTAAACCTCATGGCAGGAAGGACCTCAAAGATGAAGTTATGGAGATCATCTCTTTGTTATTCTCTACACATTTGTTCAACGTGTGTCAAGGAGCAAATCTGCTTTTACTGCATTTCACTACTAAATTGACTGTCTCTCTAATCGGCCTATTGAGGACTAATAGTTGGTCTTGGTTTGTTAGTGTTTCTAGGATTGGGAATAAAAATATTTTTTTAAGGCAGATTCTCACTGTATAGCTCAGACTAGTCTCAAACTATTAACCTAGGCTGTCCTCAGTCTTCCAATCCTCCTGCCTCAGGCTTCCTCGTGCTTAGGTTACAGGCATGCACCATTATTCCTAGCTCACCTTTCACTCTTCCTAAAGGTGTTAACCAGTGAAGAGGTGATGTCTGCTAAGAGCAGCTACACCTGTGTCCTGGGCAATTGTCATCACAGGTATCTGTGAATCACAGGGCCACACCTTTGCACCGCTCAAACAGAACAAGAAATCCACAGTGTTATGTCAAGTTAAAGGTTCTCCGTTTCTCAGCATTAGCCTCACATCGGCCAAATGCAGCCTGGCTCTGGAGGGCTTCCTTATTGGTACAAAAATGGTCAAGCCAAACCATCCAGTTATTGGAAGGATGTGCATAGCAAGACATCACACTCTGTTCTAACTCCATCAAAAACTGACAGCTTGAAGCTGGAGCGAGAGTTCAGTAAGGATGAGACTTGCTCCCCCGAGCCTGAGGACCTGTAGACTGAGTGCTGTGGGGGACAGAGAGGGAATAGATGGGACTTGATGACTGTCAGTCTAACCCCGTGTTCAGAGAGAGCCTGTCTCAAGAGATAGAGCATGGGTCCAATGTCCTCTTTGGGCCTTTTCTCCTGCACATGCATGTGCACACACCACACACAAACACACGCTAACAAAGTATACTTAGTCTGCTATTTAAAAACAGTTAAGGATCTGTTACACACCAAGAAACAGGTGTTAGACATTGAGGATGTAAAATAAAATACAGAATCCATTTTTCACCTTCAAGAGACTGGCATTCTTATCTTTATGAATTATGAAGGATTTCAGGTTTTAAAAAATTAGAAAGAAGTGCCACCTAACATTGACGCCCACTCTATCACATTTATTTATAGTTAAGAACCTCCTTTGTTACCCTTCAAGTAAATTAGTTTGTTCCTATGCTCTGATCTGAAACTCCATTTTAATTTGAGAACTAGTCCCGTGACTTCAAAGTCTGTGTAGGACACAATTCCATTAATGTCCCCAACAACAAATGGAAAGTAAATTTCCAGTCTCACCGTGATAGTTTTTCTTCATCAAATCAATGCTACAGATTTCTTAATTAGGCACTGATATTACTCGGTCTCCCCATGTTTTAAGCCTAGTTCTAAATCTCAGTGATTCTATGCTGCGACAGTTTTTATGATAGCTGGCCAGCCAATGCTGTACCCATTAATTTTTCTGGAAAATCATGCTTTTTGAGACAAGATTTCTCTGTAGCCTTGGTGCCTGTCCTGGAACTAGCTCTGATAGACCAGGCTGGCCTCGAACTCACAGAGATCTGCTGGCCTCTGCCTCCCGAGTGCTGGGATTAAAGGTCTAGCTGGAAAATCATTTTAATAATTATTTTCCATTGAAGGAAGAGAATCCCCAAGACACAAATACATGCAGTCAAGGTCTAGCCACCGAGTTTGTAGCTTAGCGCTTGAAGTATTGTATCCAAAATTGCTTCTTGAAAGAAAATATAGTACAGTTAAGAATCCCTCTCGTTGAACTTGGATTGTTTCTCAAATCCTTCCTTGGAATACTTGAAAGTATTTCCTTTTCATTTCATTTCATATGTGCTCCCCTTTTCTCCCTTACAAATCTTTCTTTACCTCCTCCGAGGGTATTACCTAAAGGCAAAGCTCTCAAATATCACCACCACATGCAGAAGTCAGAAACGGCCATTCTGGGTGGCATGCTCTGCTGGGCACTTTTGAGCACAGACTTTCATTCACCGTCTCCCTTAACAACAGTCAATGGCCAAAGGTCTCATTTCCCTTCTCACACAACATTCCAACCACACCTTGGCACGTATCTCCTCATCCTTCCTCTTCCTGCTACCCATCCCCATAGCAACCTTTAAAATTTCCCCCCAGGGACATTCATTCAGGCCTCAGTTAAGTACTCTACCTGCTCTGGACGCTGGAGACTGTAGAGCTTCTGAATCTGTTGACTTGATTTATACTGCTGATCATTTTCATGAGATCACTGGCTTCCTTAGAAGCAAGTTTCTTTGGCAGATCTTCTCTAGGGCCTTCATGTGAATAAAGAAGAAGAAAAAAAGACTGAGAAAGGACTAACTTGCTAAGGTCTACAGCTCTTCCCTGTGGTTTGCGGTACCCTGGTCCCTCTTTTGCTCTTGTAGCCATTACTTATCTTGGTTTGCTTTCTAGTGCTGTGATAAAACACCATGACCAAAAGCAACTTGGGAATGAAAACTTTTACTTGTTTCTCATGTCCTAGTCACAACCCATCACTGAGAGAAATCTAAACAGGAACTCAGGGCGGAACTAGAGGCAAGAACTGAAGCAGAGGTCATTGAGGAGTACTGTTTACTGACTTGCTGCTTTACCTGCAGGTATGTACGGACACCATGTATGTGGTTGGTATCTCCAAAGGTCAGTAGAGTGCACTGATTGCCCTGGGACTGGAGTTACAGATGACTGAGGCACCATATGAGTGACAGAAGTTGAACCTGGGTCTTCTGCAAGAGCCACAATTCCCTAAACTGATAGACCACCTCTCCAGCCCCTCAACTTCCATTTATATACAGCCCAGGACCATGTGCCTAGAGGTGCCACTGCTGACAGTTGAGCTGGGCCGTCTCACATCAATCATTAATCAAGAAAACGCTCTACAGACTTGTCTACAAAGCCCATATGATGGAAGCGTTTTTCCAATTGAAGTTCATTCTTCACACATTGACCCTCGCTTGTGTCAAGTTAACAAATTTGTAATCAGCACGGTTTTTACATTAGAACTTTACTTCGGCTTTCTCTTCAACACAGATTTACTTCATGTTCGATCGTTGTAACTCAACATCTGAAGTCTGCAACTGCTCCAAAGCTCAGTCCTTTCTGAGCACTGGCGTGATGCCACAAGTGGACAATCCTACGCTTAATTTCATGTGACAAGCCACAAACAAAATGCAGCTGCAGTAAATATTTATTGCAACGTGTACAGAAAACGAAGCTCCCCTTTAGACTTGAGTCCCAACCCCAAAGCAGCTCATGATGTGTGCACAAACGTTCTAAAATACAAATAAAGCATGGAACAGTTTTAGAACCCAGCAGGTCACATAAAGACTGCTCGACCACTTTGAAGACTTAATGAAAGCTTATTTTGTGTGAATGCCTAACCATCTCCAGGGACTGAACAGTGAGCAAGTAGCATCTGATATAGATCTCATCACCTGCCAAGGGTTCATTCCCACGGACCATTCTGCAGAGCAAACACAGTCGGACGTACTCATTTGTGCTCCGTGTCATCCGGAGAGTCAGCCCAACTAGCTCCCACATCAAGTAGACCTAGAACCCGTGGCATTAACCTCAGAGATGATTTATTTAATTCAGAATTCAAGTGATGGGAGGGCCGCCCGACCTACTGCTGACAGGACAAATATTTCCTGCGCTAGCCTTCAGACAAGTTCATTGTCACCGTGGTCTTCTTTGATGCTACGTTTACATTTGAGGACTAGCCCTGGAAATACCAAATCACACGCAGGGTACCTTCCCATGAAACCTTCTAACCGCAGTGGACACTGGTGTCCTGGGCCCCAGAAATGTGACACATGTGCATGTAATTGAGTGACCTCAAGGAGCTGATGTGATGCACTGATGTCACTGCAGCCATTAGGGTTTGCATTTGAGCTCTGTCATGTGTCTAGGACGTTCAGGTTTACCACAGATATATACTTAGAATATTGGCTACAGACTATCTGTATTTTCAATACCCTCGTAGACCAATGGTGTTCAATAATCTGAGCTGAAGCTCTGAGTGGTAACCAAACCCATTAAAGAAGAGGTTGGGCTTTTGGTGGGGATGGGGAGTGTTTTTTTTTTTATTTTAATGTGGTCTTCCAGGAAGCTGCCTCTGGACATAACTACAGAAAATTAACACAATAAGTAAAGCATTATACAACAGCTATTAACTGATTACACTAATAAAAACCAAATGGGGGCCTCCAGTCTACCCCTCTGGGAAAGGAGGACAGATAAAATAAACAAGGTAAAATACATATGAGTAAAGGATAATTGATTTTAAGCAATAATAATGTGGTTACCTCCTGCCATGTTTTAAAAAGTATACAGATTTCAATCTGTGTAGGGAAAGATAGAAGAGAGTTATTAGTATCCTTTCTCTTTAATATCCAAGCTTCGTAGTAATAGGGATGTTTTCCTGGGCTAGCAAATTGGCGAGATTAAGGAGTCTTGACAAGTTTCTTAAACGACAGGCACATGGGCACAGTGATTTAATATACAACATTTCCCGAGAAAAGCAGGGTCTCCGCACACAGAAAGCTTGCCCCAACAGTGTGCGACAGACAACAAGTCAGGTCCAAGCAAAACCGATAGGCAGAAGAGGGGAAGGAAAACAGATCCCCCTGTGCTGGGCAGAAGTTTGAGTCCATCCGCACTACATCTCCTTCTGTTGCCTAAGTCCTAAAATTCTTGAGGATATATGTGGGGCTGGCTCTAGGGGGAGAAGGGTCATTTTCCATTTGTTTTCTTACTTAGTATCCACGTACGGCCTTCCAATCTGAGAGTCGCAAAAGTAACTACACTAAGTGTGTGCGGGGTGACATGTGTCAAACTAAACGCTTAATGCGAGTGGTCGCTAATTCTTGCATTATCTCACAATTTGTAGGTGAAGACATGCAGGCAGAGGGTGACACCATGACAGGCTGAAGGCCCCACCATCATCAGCCCTCGCCTACTCCAGAGGCATCTGCCAGTCTGCTTCAACATAGGTACCCCCAAACTTCATCAGAGATGGTTGGTGTAGGAGGCTTTCAGTTTTCTCCCTCAGTGTCTTCTCACTTATTGTTTCAACCAGTCTAAGCCCAGGGAACCAATTCTTTTCGCATGGCATATGCAGAACTCGGCGTTATTTTTACTTCCCGCTGGCAAAAAGTCAGCAAATTCAAATGAAATGATAATTTCTATGTGAGAAAATAGTTTAGCATTTCCTTAAAAAAATGTGAAAACTATAAAATCTTATGCAAGACACTAACTTTTTTCAGTTGGCAGAAAATAGCCTGGTGGTTTCACATAAAATAAAACAAGGGCAGCTCAGATCTTCGCTGTCTGAGAACTAAAGGAGTGCTCTGCTGCCAGGGAACAATGGGGAGTTGGGCATGAAAAGAAGAACCAATGATGTGTGCAGGGGGTGTCTGCATACACAGAGAATGTTCGAGCATAAAAAAGGGTCACACTTATTCAATATTTGGAAAGATGGCCCAGGAGGCATCTGATGTGACAGCCAACAGACAGAAGGCAAAGGAAGGGAGATTTACAGTTAAATGGAGGCCAGGAGGGGATCCAAACACTAGAACTGACCAAAAGCATGATGTGTTGGGGTCTTCATTCTTGCTAGCAAAATCTTAGAGACACTTCCAATGAGTAATACTTTAAATAACATGGAGGTTCTTGCCTTAAATTAAAACAGAAAAAACTATAGAAATTACAGAAATTACATTTTCAGGCAGTCTGAGGCACAGAAAAATTGTTGTCTGTGAGTGGTGATATCATCTGTCTAGATAGCTCAAAAAGAACCAAAATTAGCTAATTATTTGAGGAAGGAACCAGTCAAATTGCAAATATGCCAGAAAAAAATGTATAAACAAATAACTTTTTCTAGAAAACAGTAAAAAAATCATAGAAAAATTACATGCAGAAAAGTACTGAATGTGAGACTATAGAAGAAGAAGAAGAGGAAGGAGAGGGAGAGAGAGTGGAAGAGGAAGAAGTAGAAAGATAAGGAGAGTGAGAGGAAGAGGAAGAAGAGAAAAAGAAGAGGAAGAGGAAAAAGAAGAAGAAGGAGGAGGAGGAGGAGAAAGAGGAGAAGGAGAAGGAGAAGGAGAAGGAGAAGAAGAAGAAGAAGAAGAAGAAGAAGAAGAAGAAGAAGACTCCAAATGTAAAGAAGGTCATATAAAAAGATAAATGAGAAAGAATGAGGTAAGTCAAAATTAGAAGCCTTAGATTCCCAACATTAATTAATACAAATGTATCCTCTCGTGTTTTGAATTTAGCAATGTCTTTTTTGTTTGTTTGGTTTTGGTTCTTGGTTTATTTTTTTTTTTGAGACAGGGTTTCTCTGTGTAGCCCTGGCTATCTTGGAATCTGCTCTGTAGACCAGGTTGGCCTCGAACTCAAGAAATCCACCTGCCTCTGCCTCCTAAGTGCTGGGATTAAAGAAGTGCACCACCATCACCTGGAGAACTCAGTGAGATGTACGAGTAACTGCTCATTGAGGGAAAGCTTACCAGATAGGGAAGATACTTAAAATGATGAAAACGGGGAGATTAGGGCAAAGTGAAGAAGAAATGATAAAGAAATAAAATACAGAGACACAGAAAGAAGGTCACTAGCATAAAGCTCTTAGATCAGAATAAAGAAGTAGTTTTATTAAGTGAATTCTTACTTGCAAGGACCAAAACAGACTCCAGAGAACTTAAGGACTTAAATCATCTCCAATGTTAAAAAAAAGAAGAAGAAGAAAAAGAAAAAAAAAAGAAAAGAAAGAGGGGGTCCCATTATAAAAGCACTAGAAGAAAAAGCAGGTCCGCATGACCTCACCCTGCGACACACAGAGCCTGGTCAGCCCCAACAGCAAGCAAGAGAGAAGGACAGTTGACATCTGCATTCACAAATGCACATAGATGTGTCAACAGCTAAAAACCTTAGACAGAACAGAGTGTCCCTAATATTGGATACTGAGGGGTTAATAAATTTAAGATTGCATGGTTGAAATGATCAATTGGCTGTTTTTTTGAGACCTGGAGCTGACTGTCTGCCAGGCTGACCTTGAACCCTGAGCAATCTTCCTACCTCAGCCTTCTGAGCACTGAGATTACATATTAATGTCAGCTATTAATAATAAACACAATATTGCATCTTTTAAAATGTGTAGTTTAAAATCAGTAAATCACTCCATAGAGCTGACAGGCAAAAGTTAAGTAAATAAAAATGCTTTAGAGCATGGAAATCACTACATGCATATAAAACAAGGCAGATAACCAAGAAATATAAAGAATGCTGGGTGTGGCAGTCCCTGACTGTAACTCCAGCAAGGCAAGGCTGACTAGGAGAGGTGCTGAAAGTTCAAGGTTAGCCTCCACTACCACCACTACCTGGAGAATTCTGCCTCTCTGCAACTGTGAAATGATAAGAAGGCATGTGACTTCAGAGGGCAATTCTGCAAATATTAAGGAAGGAAGGAAGAGAGGGAAGGAGGCAGGGAGGCAGGAAAGGAGAGAGGGAGAGAGGGAGGGAGGGAGGGAGGGAGGAAGGAAGGAAGGAAGGAAGGAAGGAAGGAAGGAAGGAAGGAAGGAAGGAAGGAAGGAAGGAAGGAAGGAAGATAAATTTTCACCCAAAAGTCTCACTTGCAGCGATGTATCCAGAAAAAAAACTGGAGACACGAGATTTTACTAACATCCATAAGCTCCCACCCAAATCCAGTCCCATCACCACAGTGAAATGATATATGCCCAGAGAATTCCAGGACCTATCTGTAAAGCTATAATAGCAGCATAAAACATGTTTAAAATTGTTTTAACAATATGGGCAAATATTTATTACAGCATACGAAAAGAAAAAGCATTTATAGATCAGTGGACTATGTAGTAGAGCCTTAATGGTCTTACGTTTTAAAAAACATTCAAATTTACTTTTATAAAAAGGAAACTAGATGTTGGTGATACACACCTATACTTTAGCATTTGGGAAGTGGAGGTTGGAGGATCTGGAAGTTCAAGGTCACTCGCGGCTAATAGTGAGTTCAAGACCATCCTGGCTTACAGGAGACCTTGTCTTAAGAAAAAATAAAAAGAAAGAAAAAAGAGATGGAAAAGGTCAGGCTGTATATACCAACATGTTAGCAATATCTACACTAAAGAGGCAGAATCAGAGGTGACCGGTGTCTATCATTTCTAAATATTCTTCCCTAAATGTATATTCTTTGAGCAACCCAGAGTACAGTACTTTCTTCTCCTGGCTTGTCTGCAGTTATCAGTAGTAGGTAATGTCCTGGATAGGGTGCTGGAAAGGAAGAAAGGGGACCGTGGACCACAAGGTGTTTAAATGACTCTGTGCCACTCCTTACTCTGATTACCTTGTCCTTCCTCATCTCTTATCAGAATGTTTGCAGTCTCCAGCACTATTTTATTGGCTCCTCCTGTGAGTGACAGGCCAGAGTGTCCCAAGAATCCTTAATGTATTTCGTGTCAGGGGCCTGTGGGTCAGTAAGGTTATTAATAAACAGTGTCTCTTGTTCTAATTTTGGTCCCTCCTCTCCGTCATGCTTCCCCTGCTGTCCCGCTTTTTCTTTCCTTTCTCTTGTCCGATCCCTTTCCCCTCCTCCCTGACATAAAGCACTCGGCCTTTTTATTTTAGCTCAACCTTTGGCATTTTTCCCATCATGCTTTTTGGATGCTGCTGGTCCTGCTACGCTTTCAGGGAGAATTTAATTTTTAAGAAAATACTTGATGTCCTAAATCAATTTGCTGCAGCGAGTACACTCCCATGATATGGCAAGCCAGGGAGAATGAAGGGACCCCAAAAATTGGGGCAAAATATGAACAAAAAACGGGGGGTAACTTGCTTTTCTCAAGGATTTTTCTTAGGCTAGATGCACAAAAAAATCAGGCAGAACTTGAGAGTCTAAGTAAATATGTACGGATGTGAGATTAGAAGTGGAGTACAGATTTCTTCTTTAATATCTTTTCTGCTTGGTTGATAAAATGTGTTTAACAAGCTTAGTATCACTTGTGAACTTGGCGTCGTGAGCATTGCACGGGTAGTCTTAGCCTAGGATGTGTGTTCATCCACTTTACCTCTCATTTAGAGTTTGATCTCCTGAATTTCTGGTCATAGTAGACCTGCTTTTTCTTTTTTAAAAAATATTAAGCACGTTTTATTTATTTTATTTATTTAGCTTGTGAGTGTGGTTGTGAGGGGCACTCATGTTAAACACGGGCACGGGCAGGCTAAAAGACAATGTGCAGAACTCAACTCTCTGTTTTCATGTTGGGGATCCTGGGGATTGGAATCCTGTCATTATGTTTGGCGCCTTTACTTGCTGAACCATCATACTGGCCCATGGCTTCTATTCCTGCTGACTTTATTATACAAATAGAAAGGGCCACATCACGATCACCAATCTCTCTCTCTCTCTCTCTCTCTCTCTCTCTCTCTCACACACACACACACACACACACACACACACACTGAAAGTGCCCTCTGCAAGCACACTAATTTGAGTGATTACTTTCGTCATTAAAAGAAATGCATGTCTGCATAGCTGTCAACCAACCAGCTAAAGGACGAACGGTGTAACCAATTATGTTGTCAACGGCTCCAGTAACCACCCCCAGTCTGTTTAGACATACCGTTACCTGTAGAACCAGCATCCTAAATCAACCACTGGTGGGGGCCATGAAATAAAATAGTCTATGAATGTGTACATGGAAACTGTATATTCTAAGTGGAGAAGCTTAACCTTCCGAGTCTCACAGAGCCCTGTAGGATTCCATTGAACTTTATGGGCCCTTCTCGGAACGGTATTTTCAACATGCAAAGTAAAACCCATATGACTTTTGTTTTAGGCAAACGCATAACATCTTTAACATTTAGAAATGTAAAGCACCTTTGTCAAAATTTCAGACAACTGTGATAAAGTATATGCGCTTCTTATTTGTATATCTAATACCAAAATATAATAGCGTATTTGATAACTCTTTTCATTTTGAGGTAGTGCTTTAAAGATTTATTTCTATTCTATTTGTACATGTGTGGGATAAATGTATATGTACTATGTACTATGTGCAGTTCCCATGGAGGTCACGAAAGGGCATCGGAACCCCTGGAGTAAAATACGGTTGTGAGCTGCCCGTGGGTGCTGGGAACCAAACCTGGGTCCTCTGCAAGAGCCGCAGGTTCTCTAACCTCTGAGGCATCTCCGCAGCCTCTTGAAAATAGTTTGAATTGCCGGCGGAGTGTGGTCTACGAGTCCAGATGCTTTCTATCAGTGATGAGGTCCCGGGTACTAAAGCACAGCTCTATTGATTACCTGTGACAACTGAGGCAAATGTTCCGCTTTAGCCACTTTGTGAAAATCAATGTGTGATTGTTTTAAAATCTGTTTATTTAAAAAAAAATAAACCTGACCCACAGGAGAAAAAAAAAGAAAGAAAGAAACATCTGTGCATCTGTGAAGAGAGCTCACCAGGAGTTGCTTCTGCCGGTTTCCCTTAGCAATGATAAAGCAGTACTTTCCTACAGGAAGCTACGCAAAATGCCTATGGTTCTATGTTGGATTATTCATTTCATTTTTTTTAAAAAATTAACACATTGTCTTTTTTAGAGTCAAGAACTCAGCGGTTTTTTGTTTTTTTTGTTTTTTTTTTGTTTTTTAAAAATGTGACTGTTTCAGCAACTTCCTGTCAAGGCCTGGGGTCCACAGGTGGCGGGACAAGGGTAAAGAGAGTGGTGAGTATCCAACTATGGTTCTCAACGCTCCAGGGAGACAGTTGTTTGTGAAACCTGGCAGCTTTTTTGTTCTCCTTCAGCCTTTTTAACACGCCGCCAGGTCTCTCTGTGTAGCGGGGCCTGCTGTGGTCGCGACTGAACTGGACTGAATGCAGGCTGCCAAAAACTCCCCCTGCAGCCCCTCCACGGCGCAGTCGGTGGGAGCTGGGTGTGCGTAAGCTCTGAAGATCTTGGCCTGCCGGGTGTAATAGCATCTCTGCCCTCGGAGATTACGGGTATGATATGGGCGAGTGTAATGGATAGGGCAGTCTGTGTACAAATTTCCAATGACTTGCTACACCCCTTTCAGGTGGTTGCCGTCAAAAGCATTAGCATTCCACACACAACAACTGTGTATCGTGTTACCTGTGGCCTCGGCTTCCACAGCAAAGCTCCTCCTAGTCCGCGCAGCAGGTGAGAGCATGGTGGGGGGGGGGGGGCTACTAAACACATACAGGGGCGTCTCATTCTTGAGCTTCACTGTATTGATAGAGAAATACCCAACCTGTCTAAATTAGCAAGGACGGGAGTTCAACGAGATCTGCCTGGGAAAGCTGTCTCCCCAGACAGAAATGTCTAACCTGAGGAGAGCTTGATTTAGCTTGCAGTTGTGACGCAAGGGGAGCATTGTACTGCCATGGACTTACTCAGGAACTCCCAGTGTCGCCGCTTCCCTAGTGGTGTTTATGGAGAGGACAGAGCAGAGCCGCCCACGTGGTAGATGGCACTTTGAACAGTTTTCTTCCGAGAATTTTTTTTTTTTTTTAAAGTGAGTTTTCCTATGGCCTAGAAATGTACAACATTTAAGCAAAATGAAGATCTGCAAAAGACTAGCGTTCTCGTCCAGGTCTTTTTCATGTTAAAAATACCTAGCATTTTTGCTCAGCCGGCTACAGGCACAGCCTGAGCGGATTGCGTTTCTCCTTCTCTGAATTCACACTGGACTTGCAAGCAGAACTTTTCTGGTTTCGTTAGCCGAACAGAAACACAATATTTTAGCCTTGGTGAAGATCCTCGGTTTGGGGCTGGGAACATAGCTCAACGGTAGAGCACTTGTCTAGCTGGTACAGGCCCTCCTGGTGCTATCTCACAGGGAAAAAAGATTACCTTGGAGGTGGCCCAATACTCAATATATACACTGTTGTTTCCATGGATCTGATTAACTCTTTCTTATTACTTTTTTTAAAATTTTCTTTCGTGTATATGCATGTGTGTGTGCGTGTGTGTCTGTCCGTGCACATGAGCCATAGTGCACATGTGAAGGTCCAAAATAACCACGGGAGTCTGTTCTCTCCTTGCACTGTGTTTGTCCCAAGCTGAGCTGGCAGTAAACACCATTACTTGCTGAGTTGTCTCTCTGGCCCAAGATTGATTGATTGGTTGGTTGGTTTGTTGGTTGATTGGTTGATTTGTTTGTTTATTAACACATTGAATATCTGTTAGCATTGGAAACTACTGAGCTGAGTAGATTACCTGCTGCTGTCATTATGGAAATTATTTGTTCAAAAGCTCAGCATATTGACAGCGAATACATTTCTTCAGCTTTCAGAAGATAGCTGTAAACAAGATGGTGACCTCACTCTTAGGATCCAGTCTCAATTTATCTTACCTTTATAATAAATAATACACATTATGTCCCAGGTACTACTGTACGTGCTTCACATGTGTTAATTCATTTGATTATTAAAATAACTGTAGACACTACTTCTACGAGTATTTCCATTTTACAAATGAAGAAACTGAGTCACGCATAAATTAAGATGCTCACACGCATGGTGTATTGGCAAGCCCAGGATTTAGATCCAAGCAAATCTCACTTTGGAAAATATTCTGTTAAGCACCACGTAAGAGCCAACAGAATCAATGTGTACTTATTTTTTTTTAACCATAAAAGCACTGAAAATGCCAGAAACCCTGATAGGCTCCAAATTTAGTTCAGTAATTGAGCAAAACTATGGGGGAAAATTAGTGTTAGTCTGCAAAGCAGCAAAAGATGAGAGTGATAGATTCTAGAAGCTCTCAAAAGGCCAAAGCAAACCGAAATTTAATGGGGATAAACATGAAACATTCTTAAAAGCATTAAATCCCCTGTACATGCCCAAGTTGATTGGCATCTGACTCCAGGATGTGGGGGTTCTTCCCCATGAGAGGCTCTGTTTAAAGTCAGTAACGGGACACTGTCTGTGACAGTCACGGAAGTTCTGAGTATTTTCTTTGTTTCACGAGCCCTCTTAAGGTACTCTGGCAATTCAGGCAAACTCAGGGAAGCCGTAGGTCTAGCTCTAGGGGAGTTAGGGAGTGGACCCAGTGAAACAAAAGTAGTGGGGTGAGGGGCGTGTCCGTTATCCTTAAATACTGGAAATTTTCTCCTAGGGAAAAGCAACTCTGAGGGCTCTGAGGATAGAATCCAACCCGGTGTGACTTCTGCTCCCATACACAATCAAAGTCTTCAAAACCCAAGCTATTGTAAGAATGGGGCCTGTAGGACAGGAAACCTTCCCTTCTGTCTCCCTAGTGGCCGTGGTCCAGGCCTTCATGCATGTATGTCACCTGCCTGGAATCTGTAATTCACAAAATCTACCTTCTTTTCCTTGACCAGCCGTCTACCTCCAGAACTCTGGCTTCAGCAGGAACCTGAACAATGTCCTCCAAGCCTCAGTCCACGGGTAAGTGTCTGCACCTTCTTCATTCTGTTATAGAACCTTAAATTCAAACAAAAACATTATTTCAAGATTGTCTGTCCTGCAGGTAAGGGAATATCAGCATGCCAACTAACCATGTGGAGCTATAGATGTTATCTCTAGTGTCACACGGAATCCCTGCTGCCATCAGAACAGGCACATCGGCAGGATCCACCTAAAGCATCGCTCCACAGCAACTTGGTCCTAACCTTATTCTAGGAAATTGGTCTGGTCCCCAGTGACCACCCTATCATTTAGCTGAGTGCTTACTATCATTTCTAAGTTAATTTGGGAGCTAATTGTGACTGTCAGAGGCTCTGACATTGTCGAAAATGGTAAATTGTTGAGATAAGGCAGGATCAGGGAAATTCAACACAGAAGAAGATGGGGTCTTGTAGCCAGTTGCGTGTTAAAAGGGAAAGGGGTGGAGAGATGCTGTCTCTTAATTGCCTTCAGTGTCACTGGATGATGGGACCAGAATGCCTCCAAGAGTCCACACCGCAGGGTCAATCTAAGTCCTTTATATCGGGATTTATTTTTATTATATTTAATTATGTATGTGCATGTGATTCTGCGCGAGGATATGTGCACCTGTGTGCAGGTGCCTGCAGAGGGCAAAGGCTTTGGAAGCCGCTCCTGGAGCTGGATTTTCAGGTAGTTGTGAGCTACTATCCCACACGGGTGCTGGGTTCCCTCGCTGAGCAAAAAGCTCCCTTGCTTGCTATAAGCCATCCCTCCAGGTCCTCGTCTAAGTCCTTCTAAAGGATTTCAGAGGGCTGGGGAGGTGGCTCAGCAGATAGCACGCTTGACTAATTCACATGTAAAAAAGGTGGGTGCACTCTTACAGGGAGATGGGCAGAAGAATCACCCAAACATCTAGCCAGCTGTAGACCATGTAGTACAGAAACAAGAGAGACCCTGAATCAATGAGGTAGAAAATGAGAATCTATTCCAAAAGTTTTCCCATTCTCTTTTCTCTCTCTCTCTCTCTCTCTCTCTCTCTCTCTCTCTCTCTCTCTCTCTCTCTCTCTCCTCCCCCCTCCACACACACACACTCACAATATTTGAGACAGAGTCACACTATGTAACAATGGCCAGCCTGGAACATGCTGGGTAGACGAGACAGGCTGTGAAATCACTGAGATGTGCCTGCCTCTGCACCCCAAACGCTGGGATTGAAGCTATGTGCCACCATGCCTGGAACACAAAATAAGTGTTTAAGATATTAGAAAAGTTGCTGGCTTTTAGAGAGAGAGAGAAAAAAAAACTTAAGAAAAAATAGCCCAGCCCCTACCTGTGGTTATTTCCAATTTACCAGCCTACCAGTAGGCTTTAGTGTGGTCTGGCTTAAACGATGCACACAGGCATTCTGATCACAGGTGAAACTGTGCCTGTCTCCTCAGCCCTGATACAGTTGGCAGGCTGGCTCTTGTGGGATGGGTACCCCTCATTCTTCATGCTTTTTCACCTCTGTGGACATTTCAACAGGCAAGGGCAAGCCACTAGCCTCAGGATTATGTCAAGGAAAGATAAGTAACTTCAAACGATTTTGAAACCACCAAAGTTCTGAAAAACAAGTACGTTTTGTCCTCTGACAAGTTTAGACCAAATGTTCTAGAAGATTCTATTTTGGTCAAGATACCTATATTTGCTAAGCATAGGGGTGATCATGCTCTGAGCACTTGGGAGGCAAAGGCAGTCAGATCTCTGTGAGGTCAAAGTCTACCTGGTCTGCACAGCAATTTCCAGACCAGCCAGTGCCACATAATGAGACTTTGTCTCAATAATAATAATAATAATAATAATAATAATAATAATAATAACAATATCTCCAATTTGCTACCATTTCTTTCTAGGCACACTCTCTTTGGCATAGTCTTCATGGTGATAATATTACTATCTACCCTTGATCACTGACTAACCTGTAACGTATTCAAACACAAAGTTAAAGCAAAGTGTTGTAGTAATTAAGCAAAAGATGGCAGGAGACTACTACACCTAATTTCTTTTGCCACAATCAGTTTGGAGGAGCATCAAGCCGAAAATCCACACCCTAACACAATACTCACTGCGCTGAGTGATGAACCCCAAGTCATCACTGCAGGGCACCTCTATGTCAACTCCTTTACCTGGAAGGCAATAGTCTGGGACCTACTTGCTGGATGTCTCAGGCAAGGGACAAGAGGGCTCTTTCTACCTGCTTTTCTCTGGTCGGACACAGAGGCCAAGAGGAAAGACAATGTCCCGTCTGGAGTTCCTGCCGTTTCCACTTTCCAGCTCGTGGACCAGAGCCAGAGGGCCCTGGGCTCCAAAGTGTAAACAGATTTCTGTGACCTCCTAATCTAGGTAATTGGTCCCAAATGCTGTCACCCCTTTCCAGATAGAAGCTTTGCATGCTTTTTTGAAAAAAAATCTGGAACTTTTCTCAATTGACAGAGAACAGTTTGGAGTGTTAATTCAGTCTGCTCCTCAACTCTAAGGTCCCTGGAAACAGCAAGGTAGATACCCAGGAAACACAGAAGCCTCTTTGCAGAGTTCCACCGTATTTTCTTATGTTCATCCCCTCTCTCTTGGTTCCCCCACCCTTACGAGTGGAAGCATGTTTAATCTACATGAACAGTTTTGGCTGAGTTTCGCAGACCGAACACCACCTGCAAGACGACAGGCAGGTTTCCGAGCAAGACAGAACTTTAATCCAGAATAATATATTGTTACCAGTGTGCACCCTCATGATGCTAGCCTAAACCAGCTGTTCTCTGACGTCATTTTCAGGCTAAAATTATGCCTCTCATGTTCTGTGAGGACAGCAGTTCTGGCAAAAGATTGGGAAGGTCTCTTTAGTGATTTAAGCTGTCTCGTAGAGGGCAGGCTATAGAACCTCACAGAGCTCTCTACAAAGCAGAGACAATTACATATACCTTGCCCATTCAGTGTGACATTAAAAGAGATGAAAGTTATGGGCCATAAGAGATATAAGGATTCTTCATATATTGCCATATGATACAAAGCATTCGCATAGCAGATTTGGTAGCCCAGCTTTGTGATGATGCTACCTATGCAACACAAGGAATGAAATTTTCTTTATGCTAGGAAATCTTTAGCTTAGAATTCAATAAGAAAAAGCAAAAATATAAAAATAAATAAAAGCACAGCTTTCTTTGTATCTTTTAAGGCAGTAACAAAATCTCAGAGTGTCTTTAATATTTCTTTTTCTTTTTTCTGTCTTACTTTCTTTTCCTTTTTCTCTCACGCCTTCCTTTTTGCTTCTTCAAAACTTCCCTCGTCACATTTTTCTGTTGACTATCTCCAGAATATGTAGTCAAAGTCTCTGCTAATCACTGCTTAGGAGGAGACTGCTCTTTCTCTTCTCTTGATCTTTGATTCCAAGTCGATGTCTTGCCAAGACTTTTTCTTTAAATTCCATTCTATTTCTCAATCCCCCCTCTCCCTCTCTCTTTCTTTCTCCCCCCCCCCAAATCTAATTCAATTGTCAGATAGAAGACCAGAGATTTGTGGGAAGACTGGGAAACCCCTACCTTCTGACCTGAGAGACCAGAATATGAGACAGGACACACTCTCCTCTCTTCGGGTTTTTTCCCCCCAGAAAATACTGCCAGTGCTTCCTATTGCCTTTAGTTGTCCAGAAATTGGAAGTTCACTCCCATGCATAGTCTATAGCCTTTCATTTCTCCAACAATATGATTACATTTTCTCTTGACAAGCAGTCTAGCACTAGACATATTGGATCTAAGCACTAAGACACAGAATGGGACATGCTGGATCAGGTCATTTTTATAAACAGTGTGACCTTGAGCTTGTATAGCATCCCCGAGCTTTCTCATCGTCACCTGAAGAGCGGAAGTAGTAACGCTTTCCTGACATCTGAGGTTAAAAACCAAGTTACCTTAATGCACAGCTTAGCACAGGGCCTGGGCTCATGATGTGTCCTTGAGATATTAGCTGATAATTTTCATTCATGTTCTCTTTGCTGAAAATTCCTCTGTGGACTGGAGGTTTTTCTCGATGGCAGAAAGATCCCCTGAGGTGTGCAAAGTCCCGGGTTCCAGTCCTCATATCTCAGAAACAAAAAAGACAAGATTATTTACCAACTCAAAAGCTAGGACTTTCTCTCCTGTTCTTCCCCTTTGGCTGTTTCCACACACATCACCGAAAGTTCTCTCCATATACTGTCCTTCTCTTCATCTCCAGATGAACTTCAGGAAATAAAAACTAAGACAAAGACATTCCAAAAACATCTTTCAGTTCCATCTAGCCTAAGCTAACTTCTATTCATCATTGGCTCAAGGTTTCCTTGTGAACCAAAACAGGAACTGCAGCTTTACCCCAACGGCAGTGAGTTGAGGTATGGGTATTCCCAAGCTTGTTTACATTTTAATGGCCCCCTTTTCCGCTTTCAAATGCTGGAAGGTTAAAGATTTGTGGTTTTACTGGGTACCAATTGAGATTTGGTAAATTCATCTGAATCTTACTTTGAGTTTGTCATTTGAATGAACTCACATTTCATAACACTAACCCTTGTGTTTAGAGCATGTCTACTATCTTCACCTCTGTTGACTAAAAAATATCATAGCTTAAGTAAAATGTGAGAGGTGCTTTATTTAAACAAACTACAGTGTGCAGAATGCTTGTCTCAATAGTCAATATAATATCACTTTTACTATTAGGAAAATATGTTTTATAGCACGTGTTTCAGAGTACTGCTGCCGACTACCTCTCATTATTTACAGTTGCATTTGTTTGTCAAGACATTCACGTTGACTAGATGATAATTTGCAATTTACCTATTTCTCTCTACCTTTGAAGCTCTTCGGTATGTCAGTGCTCATCCCGGGTTCTGCTAAACTGTGACTGTAAAATCAAACTTGTATAAATTAATCTTCCTTCGTCCTTCATTTCTTATTCCTCTAGAGAGCAGAAAGCCAGACTTTAAGGTAATTTCTTCCAATCATATGCTAGAGGTTTGGGAAGATCTAAAGGCAAATCTTTGGCATCCAAATGATAGGTTCACCATTGATTGATAAGCTTCTGCACATAGGTGATTACTGGCCATTAGAAAGAGATGGCTTCTGCCATAAACAATGAGCAAGAACAAGCTTGGAGAGAAAGGCTACCTCTTCTGTCTATAGGAAGAGGGAAACATACTTCCAATTTTTGTTGTATCATAAGACAAAATAATCTTAAATAACACATGTGCAGCTTTGTACGTCAAAGATCTCTGAAAAGATTACTTCCCTAAAACTGCAAGCTTGATTAAATGGAAACTTTGCTGTTATATTACACTGAAAATCTATGTTTTTATTTCACCAGACAAAGTTATTCTGGGATAATTCTTTTCTTAAGAAACATACACCATATAAAGATCCCGGCCACCAAAATGCATCTGGTGCCATTTTCAGAAACCAACTATATTTCTTACCGCTTAAAAATTAAAACCTGAAAACAAAGAAGTCACGGGTTTTTTCTTCTGACCTATAGTCCCAAATTACTGTCCATAAAAATAAATTTTACGATGTCTTTGAGGATCCTAAAGAACTCAAGTCAAGATTTTTTTTGGCTCAAAAAGAAAGCAGTTTTGATATTCAAAAATTTGGCCTCTCTTAGTCAATCCCCAGAAGGGGGGAAAAATAAGCTAATCTTAGTAAGATGGTAAATTGAAGGGATTCGGTCTTCTAACTTGATCCTCAGTCATGTTTTAAAATATGATCAAAACAGTAAAGACTGGGAAAAGACATTGAAAGTTTCAAAAATAACTCAAAATAGAAAAGTTGAGTCTTTTTTTTTTTTTTTTTTTTGAGGAACTTTCCTGTGTCCACATTAGAGACCGACAAGGATTTGGGTGGAAAATAGCTGCAACAGTTCCTCCGTCCTTGTCTTCTGTCTTGCAATCAAAAACATGCACTCAGCATGCTAACAGGGCTACTGGATCTTTTCACACGGGGCCGAGTGTCAGGTTTTTGCTGGTCAAGTACTCCAGGTGTGATTCTGGAGAGCAAACCAGCTGAAAGCAGGCATAACTAACAGACACGGGCAAAAGACCCAGGAAGCATACCAGCCACATGCCCTACCACACATGTACGAAACCGACAGGGGCTCTGCTCTAGGTCTTTGATAGCTCAGGCATGTTGTGAGCTCTGGAAAGAATTTTAATCTACATGGCTTGGAAATCGAGGCCTTTTAAATATGCTGCATACAATGTGTGATGGTCATCGCTGCAGCTCCATTATCCCTTTCCATTTGGAATGAATGAGGCTAATTAATTTCAGGCCATACTTGATGAGGTCAGCACCATACGAGGGGTGCGTGCTAGACATTGCTAATCTCTTTCAGCTGAGAGTGATGAATTAAAGATGAAGCATGCCTTTGCAGGCCTAATTTAGAATGTATATCAAAAAAAAACCTACAGCAAATAATACTATCCCCTATAACAAAGGAAAACTTGTTCTCTCAGGCTCCTGGACTTGTGTCGATTTAAAGACGTTTTCGGTCCTCTTTGGACTTCCAACTGTGGATGGGTGAAGCTGCTCTAGACAAGCCATCTCTCACACGCAGCCATGGGGACAAAAGGTGGGATTAAAGGGAAGAAAGACAGAAAATAAAAACAAAATACAACAATCAGGTTTTGATCCTCTGTGTATTAAAATTCCTCCTCCATATTAGGCAGAGACCCTCTTTTTTTTCCCCTCCAGAACTACCAGACAAACAAAGATTTCAAATTAGGGTACCTGGATTCAAGTCCCGGCCACCCAGCTCTGCTGGGATGTTTCAAAGTAATGTGCTAAATGAGGAAGCCTGGGGTTTTTTTTTTTTATTGTTGTGGGTTTTATGTGTGTGAGTGAGTGAGTGTGTGTGTGTGTGTGTGTGTGTGTTGCGGTTTTTTTGTTGTTTTGTTTTAAAGCAGATATCCTAATGAGGCTGATTAGGTTTTTCCATGTCTCAATTTTAAAAGCCAAAAGAGATTGGCCAGGTAGATAATGTGATACCTTTTATTAAGCCAAGGAAGAAATTGTAATACAGACGCCTCCAGGCCAAAATGTTCTTATGAAAGTTAATGCTGAGCCAACTTCCGGGGTTGTAAAATGGAAGGTGCTCCCTTCTGTATATACGCTAAAGAGAAGAAAGAATTAGTCACAATTTCTCAAAGGTGACTGTTATAAGTCCCGAAGCAAAGTAAGGAAGGAGTTTTAGCCCAGACATTGGCAAGAAAAATAAGTGTCTGGACATATCAGAAACGAGAACCGCTTACAGGTTACGTGAATGCTTGAGATTTCTAACTGGTGGCCAAGCCAGCTCCTGACTTTAGGTCCCAGTAGCTCTCATTAGAACAAGCCGCTTCAAATTACATCTAATCTACACGATGAATCAATCTTTCATCCCTTTAATTGCTTCTGAAAATATTTATATTTCTTAATAATGCACATTTTGTCTTGTAACTTCTGATTAAACCCAGACGGGCGTTCCCAAAGCAGGCAGTGACCAAGCAAAGACAATTTGGGATGGGAAGAAAAGGGAAGGCTTAAGAGACAGACTTTTCTTGCTGGAAAGAGGAGAGCTGAAATAAATAGCTATTGGGAAGAGTACTGCTGCGATCTAAAAGAAATTAAAGATTTATTTTGACTTGTTTATTTTTGCACACAGGGTCTCGTGTAGCCCAGGCTGGCTTGGAGCTTGCTGTGTAGCTGAGCATGACCTTGACCTACTAATCCCTCTGTTTCCACCTTCTGAGGACTGGGATTGCAGGTGTGTAGTACCAAATACATTCTTACTGTAGGACTGATTATGAGTTCTGGCTGTCTAACTGGTTAGCTTTATAAGTGTCGCAAGAGATAATTATGATAGAGACATAGAAAACTTTCCACATTACAATCAGTAACAACTCACACAAGGTATCATATCACAAAAACAAAATCCCAGCACTTGGGAGGCAGAGGCAGAGGCAGGAGGATCTCTGTGATTTCAAGGCCAGCCTGGTCTGCAAAGTGAGTTCCAGGAGAGCCAGGACTACACAGAGAAACCTTGTCTCAAATCCCATCACCGTTCAAAAAAGAAAAAGTTATAATGCAGTAATAACCAGAGGACGAAATAAATGTACTGGTTGAACAAGGAACATGGTGGGACATTACCATGTTGTCAAAGTAGCAGTGATTCACGGTTTGGGGACGAAGAGAAAAGGTGTTCCATCTCAGTGGTATCAATCTCCCATGCCTCTACAGACCTCGAGTCCTCTTAATTCTGCCTGGAAAACAGCCAAAATTTTCCATACAATTTTAAATTATATGATGTTCTAAGCAACCTTTCCTGCTCAAGTCCAGTCAGCCCACTCTAGCAGAGAGTTCAAACAACTGATGTCCAATATGTAATTTTACCATATTAAACCTGGTATCTTCAGGAGGCCCGGAGTGGAGGGTCATGAATTTGAGGCCAGTCTGAACATGAAAATCAAATAGACAAGCAGGAAGAGGGGAATGAGAGGGAAGGAAAGCAGGGAGGGAGAAAAAGAAGGAAGGAAGGACATTGCCCCTTTACCAAATGGCTACAGCTTCTTGTTTATTTTCTAAACTATATATATTTTTTTCTATACTATATATATATATATATATATATAGTGTAACTATATGTAGATAGTAAAACTATCTACAGAACATTTGAATTGTATTAAGCATCATGAGGAATTTGGTGATAATCTCCAAATGGTGATAATCTCCAGTGGAATGGAGGCCATATACTTGGTAACTGGTAGTGTGAATTAGATACATGAATACTGAGTAAATACAAAGAAACTGAGCCATGAACTATTCCACGCTGCCTCAGAATCTGAAATTTTTTCATATTCAGAAAATAAGAGCAATGTCTTGGGCCCACTCAGCACAAAGCAAAACTTCTTGCAATTACAGACTGGGACCTAGAATAAGCTACCATCAACACTGGCTTTGCATTCAAACTTCCTGAGTGTCCCCAATTTCCAGCGATGTGTGTTTTAGACAAGTCCCTAACACCTAGAAACCTGGTTTTGTTGTCTGATCTACTGAAGAGATGAACAGAGGTTAAATAGCATGTTAGTGTTCACATTCTAGCATGTGTTAGATGCTAATCAACATTGCCATAGTCTTTTAGTCTCGATTTACGTCATGACTCAGAGTATAAGAAAGAATCCCCCATGAAAACTACAAGATATAGGAACACAGTTTCCAGGTCTGTCTATGTCTCTATTGACTCCCTGACTTCAGACAACCCAGCCTCAGTTTATTCATCAGCAAAATGGAAATTAAAAAAAAATCTGCCTGAACAGAATTTCAGTAGAAATCAAATCACTCCTGCATATGAAAGGACTCCATGAGTAGGAAGGACACTACAGAATACAGCAGTTGGTGGTTTTATTGAAACAAAATGAACCCAAGTTTGGAAAGGTACTAGCTGCTCAGAGTTGGTTAATAAATAGTAAAAGGAGATAAAGACTTTGTCTTGCTTCTCAAATAAATCACCTTCAAAATGAGATATGAAGGCTGGGCATGGTGGTTCAGGCCCTTAAACATGCCATTGGAGGGGCAAAGACCAGAGGCTCTCCAAGTTCCAGGCGAGTCAAGGCTCCATAGTAGGTGCTACTTTTTTAAAAAAAAAAAAAACACAGGACACAGCACTTGGGAGGCAGAGGCAGGAGGATGTCTGTGAGTTCAAGGCCAGCCTGGTCTACAATGTGAGTTCCAGGACTGGCTCTATGGCTACTGAGAATCCGTCAAGTTAATTAATTAATTAATTAATTAATTAAAAAAGAGGAGACTGGGGGGGGGGTGCTGAGTCTAGCTCAGTCATTGACTAAATGCCTAGTCCGACAGAGGTCTCAACACATCCCCAAAATGAGATACATGCAGCATCATTAAACCATTAAAAACCCTACATGGGTACCTTTCTCAATCATCCATGTAACTTTGTTCTTCTGTTCTCTACCTGAACTAAAAATTCTCATAATTTTGTATTACCAGAGCATTATATAACTGTGAGGTCCCAAAGTTAGGCGAGCGAATCCACTCTCTTTTTGCTTTTCCGTTAAGGAAGTAGTGGATCTAAAAGGAAAAAAATGAATGCATTTGCTGAAATATTAAACGGTGACTTCCAAGAAGCCTTCATACTCATTAAAATACTGTCAAACTTCGCAGTCTGACCAGCTGTCCGTTTGCGTGTGAACTTTAAAAATATATTCATTATTGAGCTATAATTCGGCTTACGCCGAAGAAGCTTCTAGAGCTGGGGATTGTTTTGTGAGTGGGATTATTAAGGAGTTTGGGCCTAAAGGTAGATGTCTATTTTAAAAAGAAATTTTCTGATCACAGATAACTTCTCAATTTGATTTAGTGTCGAACGATAGCGATGGGGTTGATAAGTGAGCATTCATCGGTAATTCATCTTGGGCTGGTGGAAAGTTACAGCCAAGCAGTGCTTTCCCAACAGTGACAAGCCCTATTAATCTTCTTCAGACACATTTCAATAGGTGTTCCCATCTGTGGCCAACATCTAAACGCTCTGGCATCACTGGCGACTCGAAGACACCTTCATTTCAAGTTACACTAGTGAAAATGTGATATTAGATTGTACTCTATTTTTTAACCTAATTCTCTCTTTCCATTCAATTAGCCTTTCTTGCCTGGATTTTCGGCTCACATGTAACACCATTTCCCAGGGAGAACTCTCCAAGATTTCGTTTTCTCTCAGATACACAGTCTCCCCCCCGCCCCCGAGGTTAGCAACAAACAACTATTTTTTTAAAAACAAATTAAAATTGCATAGATTCAGTTCTGACAGCCATTGATTGGCCTCTGATTGTGTCTGTCCTTACAAACTGGAAGCTACACAAATAAAGAGCGGCCGAGCATTTGGAGGGCAGAGAGAAAGGGGAAAGGCTCTGCAAACTATTTGTATTCAGATTTCGAATGCAATTTATTATTCTGAACTATGATGCTAAATTTTCATGGGGAGGGTGGTCCTGGAATGACGAGAGACCATTACGAAAAAAGAGTGGGAACCATCATGTTTTCCCAAGATGATCAGTACTTAGATTGGAATCCCTCTCCTATCTTTCTGAGACTGCTGAAGGAATGCCCTTTAAACTGGGAAATAAAAGAATCACTTTAGGATACTCCATTTCACTTAAATTGCCTTTTTTTTCTCTCGGCAGCATCCTCTAGCTAGCTGTAAGTTTAGTGTAAGTGAGAAGAGTGGGGGGGGTAGGCGGTGGGGAGGGCGGTGCTTGATTTTGGATGGCACCTAAGTGCTTTCTCGTACCACGTTCTACCTCATAATAGGTCTGGTCTCGCAGAGGAAGAGAATTTGAACAGCATTTTTTTTTCTTGTGTACTTTAGAAATCCTTCAAAAAACTGTATATTTTCATTTTTGGAAAGGTTAGATACACCTATACAATGGATGGATTTTCTTTTTAAGCATCACTGAAGAATGTGGACGTGGGAACTCAGGAGATGTGTGAATACAGGTACAAACATGCACGGGTGCCTGTGTTATTCGCATGTGTGCATGGATGCATATGTGAAATATGCCTTCTCCCAGGGGTCCCTTCCCTCATACAAACTCTTTCTGCACAATGAGCATTTAAGATTGTTGGAGATCTCAATCCCCTCATGGTAGCGGTGAGTTTAAATGTGTTGTACTAATAACTTGTCCAAGAGAAATTAAATCCTTATATGTCAGAAGCACTCTACACTGGATTATCTACAAGACAAGTACTTATTGAATAAACGTTGGGACCAATTTCATTTTAATGTGACTGACTGTATGTTTCAGAGATAAAAAGACTGAAACCTGTAACTGTGTTGCCATAGTACACCCAACTTGTCTATTTCCATTACTGCCTCTCAACTTAAAATATGGAAAGACTCTCTGTCTCTCTGTCTCTCTCTCTGCCTCTCTCTCTCTCTCTCTCTCTCTCTCTCTCTCTCTCTCTCTCTCGTTGTTGTTGTTCTGAAGAGCAAGGGGGAGAGATAGAAAATGCCTGGCATTCAGCCTAAAGAGAAATCATTGAAACAAATTAATCCTATGCCGTTTAAATTGACATGGTCATCCATCATCAGAGGGAGGAAACTCTGAAAGCAATCTCGGATCTGCCCCACTCTCTCCCTGGCCCTGGAGGCACAAAGACAGATAGTAAAAAAAAAAAAAAAAAGTGGAGGAGGGAGAGATAATCGTAAAAATTAGAAATGCCTCGGAAAAAAAATAAAATTGGTTCTATCAGCTTCTACTGTCCTGCCTCTTCAAATCTCCTTTGGAGACTTTCAACAGTTAACTTTTCTAAGTTTGCCTCTAAGTGATGAGTCCTTGTTTCCCCGCTCTACCAGGCTGGCCATTCCTGGTCCCCTTGGAAAGCTAGGTAACTGAGCCTGCTGAAAGCTGCCCAGTTAGTTCTGCAGAAACTCTTCCCCAGTGCTAGGGACTGCTTTGGGAGGTAGGTGGCAAGTGGATTTTGCTTTATTTATTGTTTAGGATTTGAAGAGGCAAAGAATGGAAGATAATCTTTTTCCTTTCCTCCCCCCGTCATTGCGTGTTTGCACTCGGTGAAAGAGGTGAAAATAGTAATTTTAAAAAGAAAACTTTTCTGACGTCACGAAAAAGAGAGGCACGCCATCCTGCTCGGCCACTTGTCACCGTTTTTAGAGAGGGATTTAGCTTTCAAAGTTCTCTCCACTTTAGAAAGGTCTATGATGGCATGTTGTTAAGATTTGATTTTAAAGTCATAAATTGTATAATACAGGAGTGTTCCATATTAGTAGGTAGATGAGATGAAATAAAACTTATTAAGAATTCAACTATAAAAACAACGTGCCTGTATTTCCAAGACATTACATTCTAAGGGTTATTATTTGTTTGTCTAGGGAGGGGTTTTCTTTAGGTAACATATGTGGTGTTGTTTTATTTATTTGTTTAAAGGAAGGCGATGGTGGGGAGGGGGGAACTATAAACTGCTCATTCCTGACTGGACATACAAATCTGAACAGAAATCTAAATACTATTTAATAGTGTTTCTAGCTCTATAAGCAAGACTATTGGAAGCATTTTTAATTTTAAACATTTACTCTGTTAACACCGAGACAGTAACTAAAGGCAGAAGACGCCTAATTTACAATCAGAGACTATAAGGCAGAAGAACATAAACTCAAACGGTGGCTAAAAGATGCCCTGCTTTAATTTGTCTAGGATAGAGTTGCTTCTAATTTATTAGGAAAACTTTTGTG